ATTAATCTTCTCGGAAAACTGCTCACCAGAAAAACATGTTATAATATGGTTATAGTATTAAGATACTAAAAAAACAATCTTTTGCTGAAAACAACCACTTGATACGGTAGACCAGTAATTATCTGACTTACAAACTAAAAATGGTATCATAGAGCGAAGTGGCCACGATTCAGATTTTTTAAAAACGACCTCTTAATAAGTGACATTTTAGCTTACCTGGTACATATCACAAAACGTTTTAATGATTTCGATAACTTTATAGAGATTTAAACTAAGTCATGTATAATGTTTACTGAATAGCTGAGAATGGTCGAAGAATTAGTTACACCAAGTGAGCATTGAACGATGGTTATACCCTGGTATTAAAATTTATTTTCAATTCACATAGTGGTTTAATAACCTAACATTTGAGTTGTTCAACTTTCATCCACGAGATTACGGGTTAGAGTCTTGCTCCACTTACTTCAGTTCCCCCACCGAAATAATACCATTATCACCGATTCATAAGTATGACTGAAATACAAGTATATAAATCTGTAGTTCGTAAATTAGTCGCAAGCTAGTTACACTACACGTACATGTACCCAGTAAACTCCCCGTCAAAAAAGTCTGACATACGCCAATTGATATATATAGCAATAATATCTAAAGAAATGTTGAAAAAATTCAAAATCACGTGAAAAGCATAAAATATATTTTTCTTTCAACGATTATTTCTTATCAAAAGAGGGTCTTGTGGAGGTTTCAGTAATTTTAATGGTTGAATTCATGAGTCATTTGAAGCTAGACAATCATAGAAAACCTGGAAGCGACGGACGGCCGTTTCCTCCTAGTATGCGACTCCTCAGAAGTACGCATCCACGATACCGCCTATGGACTTTTTGTGATCCCTGATTTATGTGTTTTCCAGAAGATGTATATATCGTTGAAATTAGAATTGCAAAACTTTCAAAGAAAGTTCCAGAAAACTGATAACTAAATATCACATGAATCTACGCCCAACTTATTACATAATGATTATGCAATTCAATTCAAAAACACAACATAAAACAAAAATGACTTTGATTTCATTTTACCAAGTATATTTATAAGCATCGCTTACTGACATTCGATAACATGAAATTTTAATATCTCACAAATAATTGGATTAATGCCAAATTTTATTCTCTCAAAAATGAGCAGTTGCTTCTGCGAATTAAACCTCTTTTTATCTAAATAAGTTAACATTATTGAAGATGGTAAACTCCGATATTTCGAGATGTCTAAATTCTATGAAAAACGTAATTGATTATATTTCATCTTATATTAATTGCCGATCATCTACCATTTATCCTTGAACAATTAAAATTAAACCATTTTAATTCTCAATCTCATAAACTAATTTCACTTAGATACACATACCTTTACACCGTACTTATAAATTAAACTATTTTTTTAATTTTAAAATAGTAACAGCTGTTTTTCTTTGTTTTGATATTTTCGTTAGCATTTGCCATGATTTCTGTATGATTGATGTTCAAATATAAAAAAGTGTACCCATACAATTAACGTAAACATTTTCTATTTAAACCGTAACATATGTTTCTAAGGGTCTTTCTCAATTGTAAATCGTTTATTTCTAAAAAATGTAAAATATAACTAGTCAGTTTTATTCAAACGGTGATCCCTAATAAATTTCACTTAGAACACGTGTATTATATAAGGTGGCAAAAATAATGTTAGTAACGATAATATTTTAATAGAACGCTTGATATCTTGTAGGTGTTCTGAAACCAAAAAGAGAACATAAAAGTACTTTACATAACTCCATATATAAAAATATGTACCAGCCATGTTGGCTTAAATTATCCATATTAAAAAATCAACACTTTAGTATAGTAGAAGAGAGGGAAGTAGGAATTAATGATTGATTAATTTTGACAAGTGTTACAATAATCGGTAATAGAAAGTATGCAATGAGATAATTTAAACTTATGTTAAATAAATGCCAATGTAATACAGTAATTTATCATACATTTCTTTGCACACAAAAAAGAAATAATGTTATGACTCTGTTTTATTTCTTCCTTATAAATATTCATTACTATGCATCATATAGTATTATGTTTTGCTAATGTTAATTAGATAAGCAAAGAAAATGTTTCCACTGGTGATACTTGTAATAAATAATCAATACTCATAGGACGAAACTGCAAAGGAATTATTTAATAATGGTTTCTGAAATACTTAAAAGGAATATTTGTTAAATAATTAGAATAGTCATTAAAATGTATCCTTAGTAAGTAGTTTCTAGGTCTTTGTGTTGCCTAAACAAACCCTAATAGTGATCACAAGCAGTTTATTGTGTAAAATAACGTTTATAAAAAGCTTTAAAATTGCTTAAGTTACATTTTCTAAATACTTTCGCCTAAATTTGAACTAATCACTATAAAATAGTTGTTTAGTAATCATTTAATATTTGAACACTGTTTATATTCAATAATTTTGATGTTTTATAACTTCCCTTAAGAAGCTTGGTTCAGACTGCTGAGTGAAATACTGGAGTTAATTTAATTTCAGTCACTAGGAAGTTTTATAAATATAATTCCATTTCAATGGTAATAATATAGATTTTGTATAAGGTCTTAATAACTGAGTTACAACTTTTCAATAATGTTCTAATAGATTGGTCTAACATAAACATTTAATGTTGTACAAAGTGTGAAACAAATCTTATCATCAAAGTAGCACAGTCATGATCTATTATAATATAGTTCAGTAAAACAACTATCTTATGGGCAAGCTGTAATTAACTTGCAATTGATTTAATTCATGAAAAAAAATCAATCATCGATGTATCATTTTTATAGTTAAATGATTAAGTCGTATTTATATAAGTTTCATTAGTTATACGATTTTAGAATATACATTTTCACAGCCTTTTTCAACGCGTCCTAGCTTATTGAGAAGAATTGCTGTACCTTATCTAAAAAATTTAAAACAGGGAAAATTTAAGCGAAAATGTCAAATCTTAAGTAGCTAGAACAAACTATTATTCGGAAAATCGATATTAACACAGATGACGCAACCGTGTTAATTTGTATTTAAAGTGACGTGAAAACAACTAATCAAATGGGTATATAGGTATCGATGCGAACGTTCTATTTGATAGGTTCAAGTAAATTGAGCATCAGGTAAAAAGTTAATAAAGAATATATCTTATGGTATATCCCATAGAGTAGAAAACTTGTATTTCTGATGTTTCGCGACTTAATGTATGTCACTTCTTCAAAGTGAACAAAAATCTATTTACTTAGAAGAAGTGACTTTATATAAAGTCGCGAAACGTCGGAAATACAATTTTCCTACTCATTAGGGTATACCAAAAGATATATTTTTTGTCAATTAATCAAATCTTTTTATAACAATTCTAAATCAATATAAGCTCTAGTTTATGGCGGAAAAATTGAATGAATGTTTAGTTCTTTTCGATTTTTTTGTTAAATAATTAGAAAACCAAAGTAGTGAAAACTAATTTCATGAATATAGGCAACAAATCATCAACATATTTTATTGAATACACGATGCAAATGTTTGGCGAATAAGATAAATCAAGTTTATATAAATTCAGGATATGTTTTAAACTAAATACTTTTGGTACATAGATAGCTTTAACGAAATGAAACCTCTATATACACCTAATAACTATCGCATTCACTTTTATGTAAACAGTACATTTATAATATATATTCGTTTTGTTTAAATACAATGTTTGGATAAATATTCTCCAGCAATCACTATTTAGAATTTAATCATCCACATACCAATATCCCTACCGAATGATCTCTTATTCAAATTCAATCTAAATATATTATATAATTCTTTACAAAAAAATGTTTCAGTCATGAAAAGTCATTTTTTCTTGTCTAAAATGCTTATTCATGTAAATAAAACAATTTCACTTGACTGAATAAAAATCTCACAGACGAAAATCAGTCAACTATTACTAATAAACTTTTTTGACTTAATGCTATATGGTATGCTATATGCAAGTTACTTTAAATAAACCAGAAATATGAGTTATGTATTTAGGAACATTGGATTGATTGCAGTCACTATGAAATAACTTAGGAATATTATCAAAGGTGTTCACTGCACAAATCTTAGTCACTTGAAATATTTGTATATTTTTAATAAGAAGTAAGTTGCTAACACCTTATATATTTTTCAAGATATCTTGGTTCGAACTCAATCTACATTTTGATTTTATATGATGAAGCATAACACATCTTATTACTCTTAATAAACCTTTTAATAATTCCAATTACTATGTAACAGCTCTTGGGTTTTTATAATAGTTCAACTCTGATTAAGAAAGCAGTCTGGTTTCAATACCACAAGGTCAGTAAAATATATTTTAACTTTAAGCCCTTGAAAAAATTTTAATTTTAACACTGAACAACTCAATATTGACAATATTCAATTAATACATAATGTACTCAGAAGATAAGCCTTTTTTAGCTTTATTCACTGATCTTAGATATCAAAGGTAAAATCATAAATTCAATTAAAAATTCAATCTAGAATAACAATATCTAAATGATTATTTCATTGACAACTTTTATCACTCAAGGATTCGGTTTTAATCAATAAATCAAGTAAACTTTAATGTTATTGATTTTTCATGGTTTTCAAAATTTTTCAAACAATTTTTACCACATTTTTAAAAACAAAAATATTTAATCATGGTACCATAAGTCAGCGTTTAATCTTTTATACAATTAGTTCCCTTTATGAATTTAAATAAACCCAGAATAAATACTAATGCAGAATAATATGAATACATTTTAATTGTAAGCAACTGACGAGAAACCACGAAATATAATGAATTAATATTATTCTGCATTAATATTTATTTTGGTTTTATTTAATCTTTTACTCTGTATAATAATGTCCAGAATAAATTTTACTATAGTTTATATATGAATACATAAATAATTCAGAAATTACTATGAACTTACCAAGATTTTATTGTTACGTATATAATCCGAGAAGAAATATGGAAAAGTGTTTTCTTTTTCTTTAAAGACATGACAATATGATTAAAGACCTATCCATTGGAATATAAAAACTAGATATATATATATTATTGTTTACTTAGATTAGATTCCCTGTTGTCATAAATGTTATATTGTTGCCTCCTGTTATTTTCTATTGTTTTGTTTGTTTATTTGTTATTACGCCAATCATTTCAAAATAGTTATTTGTCTAAAATTCATGTAAAATTAACTGTGAAAAAATTGTTTATATTTAAAATTTACTTTTCCTATGAAATTTTAATATTATTTTATTATCTACAAAAAGAAATCTTCTGATTGGTTAAAATAGTAATAACCAATTATATACAAGAAATAATTATTATAAAATTTTAATGATTAAAAAATAATTCAAAGTGACAGTAATTTGTAGATGACAAATATCTATTAAAAACTGATAGTATAAATTTATAGAAATAAAGTAAATGAATACTTTAAATACCTATACACAATATACAAATAAGATACATAGTTTATTGTGTAGAGTTTCCTAAAGAAAAAGGGAGAAATTTATGTTTTCAAAATATAGGTGTATTCTTTAGAACAAACAATACTCTAAGATCAAAACTAGTAAGAATCAAAGATCCAATACACAAGGAAGAACAATAGAATTGTGTTTATGAAATCAAATATAGTGACTGTAATGCAATATATGTAGGTGAAACATTAACGCAAATGAATGTAAGGGTGAAGGAACACAAATTATGCTTAAAGCACATACCTAAATCTTCAGTTGAGGTAAGAAAACTCAAGAACAAATGGGCGATAGAATTATACTGGATAAAATCGGGTCAAACAATTGTTTATTATTTTATTTTATTTTATTTTAACACATAGGTATTGGTATATGGAGGCACCAAATACATATGCGCCACACGAATCTCAATTGATTTGTGTGAGGGCTGTGATACTGCCCGGGTGCCCAAACCGAAACAGGTGGTTTTCTTAGGGGGCCACACCCCGAGACTTCGACCTGAAGATCTGATCCACAAGGCATTAAAGCATCGTGAGGAGATGCAGTCCCGTGGTAGCCGGTGACCAACGATTGGTTCATACGCCATTTGTTCCTTGAGGACACTGAAGCCCATGTGCACCATTGGTTTGGGATCCGGTTAAAGCGTCGAACATTCGCTTTTCGTTCTCTCATTTTCGTAAACAACACCCCTGTCACGAGAATGCAGTGAGTAGGACTTCCCTGGCAGAGGCTATATACGCATGGCCATGTGAGAGCATTTCGAGAGGGAGAGCTGACTCTCTCCACTCTCGGCCGTACCAGGGCATTTGGGGGAGTCATACAATTGATTCTAATGGCATAAGAATTCTTCAAAAAGGCTTTAATTCTTACAAAGAAAGACTAACAGCCGAAGCCCTACATATATGAACTAATCCAAAGAGTATTAATAGGAGAGATGGGATACAATCAACTGTCCCATGACAACTAATAATTATTAAGTAAACCTGTACTCCTTATTCCATTTTATCTATATCGTATTAAACTAATTAAGAGATATTACTTTAAACGTTTCAAATCAGTTATCTTATCTGAATATCAGATGGGTTTTGTGGATATTATAGTAATTTCAATGATTACAATCATGAGTCGTTTGAAGCTAGACCACCATGGAAAACCTGGAAGCACTGGACGGCCGTTTTGTCCTATTGTGGGACTGGTGGTTAAGTGCTCGTGCGCAAAACCAGTAGGTCCTGGGTTCGACTCTCGCAGGGAGGCGAGATCGTGGATGCGCACTGCTGGGGAGGATGAAACGGCCGTCCAGTGCTTCCAGGTATTCCATGGTGGTCTAGCTTCAACTGACTCATGATTTTAACCACTGAAATTATCTGAATGTTAAACAATTAACTGGAACATTAAAATAATACAAACTTTCAATTACGAATTCTTGCTCTTTGAATTCATTCTTTCATCGTGTGTATTTATCTTGTTTATTTATCTTCGTCTAATGCATGCTGTGACATTTTTTATTCATATCATATATAAAAACAAATTATATATTTTCCTAATATTAACCGACCGAAGACAATATTCTGAATGAAATTAGTTCCCACTTACGTATACACATAATCTGTTATCTTAACATTTTTCGTTTTCACACCACATGTCTCTTACACACTAATGTAAACATCTACTTTATACATTGCTAACGTTGATTGGATGACTTATTCAGTATACAGTAAACCAGAGAACCATGTACCTATTTATATTCGATAATTTTGAGGTTTGATTATATATCCGTGAAAAAGCTTGGACTAGATTGCAAGGCGAAATGTTGGATCTACTTCAAAATTCATTCACTGAGATTTTACAAATACACTGTTCCTCTTTAATGTCTCACATTAACTCGGCGCCGAAATACCGTGAAACAATTAGATCAAATTTAGACAAGAGTTCCTATTTAAACTACGTTTTCGTTGTTGATTAATTTTATCCAAATAATTTTCTTGGATTTTTTCTACAGTCAATTTAAATAAACTTATTTTCATTTCGGGTATTGTTTGAATATTGTATTTTATTGATATAAGTTAGTTGAGGTGTAATAATTTAGTTTATATTTTTTACGTATGTAAAAGTTTCTATTATCTTCAATTACCTAAATATAGTTAGAGATGATTATTCTTTTACAAATGATTGATTACTGGGTGGTAACCAATGTCATGTGTGTCAAGTCCGTCTTAGTACAAATCGAATGCTATCGATCAAGCTGCGATGTGGCTACTAGTCTAGGTGACTTGACATTGCTTGAACTATGTTGATATTAGATATTGGTTGGAGGTAGTCAACAGGAAACGCTGGACCCGGGTTTTGTGCACAGAATTCGATCTGCACTAAGAAGGACTTTATACGCATGACATTGATCACCACCCAGTGATCAATCAATTGTGATTACATCTCAGTCCTACAGGAGGTCGGTCGCGGCTCGGATGGCCCAGTGGTAACGTCTCTGACTGTGGGTGACACGGGAATGAATCCGACAGGGAGCATCAGTTCCTACACGATTACAGGTAGACCTTGGTGACGAGTGCCAAGTAGCACGAAACCCGGGTCCAGGGTTTCCTGTTGACTACCTCCAACCACCATGTAATGATTATTCTTTATTCTCATTCTAACGTTAAATTAAGTAAAAACACGAGGAATGATGAAAATAAATTCAAATTTGTCATTGAAACACATTCCTTCCATACAATTTTTCTTGGATCAGTTAATATCACAGACTGATAATAGCTAAAACACCACTGAAAACCAAGAAGCGATGGATGGCTGTCAGATGTTAGTCAGTTATACTTCATTTAATAGAGGATAGCGACGAAAGGTCGTCGATTGACTGAATTTAGAATTGTATTTGAGCTCGGCATTCTAAAGGCTTAACGTTTAAGTGTGAGACTGAAAGTCTCGAGTGTGATTCCCTGACAGGGTCGTATAAGGGCACTATTGAAGAGTCCCGTACTCGAACAAAACAACAGTGACGTCTTGATTGGTTTAGTATGGTAGTCCGGCTTATACCGATTTCTCGCTAACATTATACGAATGATACAGTTTTCACAAAACTCTGTACGGGAAATTCTTATGTTCCACAACTTTAGAAGAAACAAGACAAGGAACCATAGTTAAAAGTATAAATTCACTGATTTGTACGAGTTTGCTCCAGCTGTTTGAAATCTAAGGCAATAATATACTTTATATAAAAAATTCCTTGATACAAACATGTAAAATAACTAGGAAATTTCAGATATCATAGACATAGCACTTTTAATGTTAATAGATTTTGATGAATTTTCAAAATCATTAAATTTGCTGATAGTTTATAGAATATTCTGAAAGAAAAACACTAATGACAATATAAAGACACAAATTACTTGAAAACGAAAACATAGTGCACTTAATAAAACTCTACAGTATTCAAATACTAAGGATTACTTCATATAAAAAAGAAATAAGCTGAAAGATGAAACTACAAAAAGTCATTTTCAAGATACTGCACATGTTATGTCATAAATTACGAGAAATTTTGGTCGATGGGACAATTTGGAATTGACAGCGGTATTGTTTCATAAATGAATTACTTTGAATTATTTCACTTTGACCGCTTTAAAGAGTAGTTAATAACTTGGACTCATTGATTTATTGACTTTTTTTTAATATTTTGAACTGTCGTCATATCCACTATCAAACAAACGGTATGAGGTAGCACCTTTGGCAACATGTAATCCCCTTTCAGAAGTTTATTTGGAATTTCTCTGGTAATCCAAACTATAAATCTCTTTCCTTCCACTATGTTTGCTCCAGCATATATATGTAAACTCCTATACTTATGCATGTTTTATAACTTTTTATTTTCAAATAATAAACAACCATGAAAATAATTTGTTTACCCCATTGAAATTTTAATTTAAACGTCTGTTAGCCCTCCTATAAAACAACAAGGCCTCAAGTGAAACAATAGTCAAGCTTTGAATTTAAGTGACATCACAAAATGATGTTTTGATTTGAGATACATAACCTTCTTCCCTTAATCAAAAAATTAATAATAACTTCTTACGTTAATCGTAATGTAATTTGAACATATCTTTAGGACCTTCAAGATACGTTAACAGCTAACAGTATACATTATGCAAACACTTCTACCCTGCGGTCACTTAAAATACTCTTTAACAGCACGATTCTGAATAAACCTAAAAAGTTTTATTTTAAAATTCGTTAGAAACTATTAAATTCATAACCGATCTTTTCAATATACAACCCAGTGACAGAATTCAAGAACAAGATTAGTAGGCATTTACAACTTATAGGATTAAGCGCAGTAAGCAATTCATATAAATTTGTTTATTTAAAAGATTACTTATCATTATTACGGTTAAAGTCAGCTAAGGAAATTAAACCTTTTCAGTGAATGGCACTACACACCACTGACAAACGTTCACTTATGATGATTTAAAGAGTTTGCCTCAGTCATAAATGATTCACCTTTAGGACGTCTTCAGTTCACTGCGCAGTGATCAAAGGTATTTTATTTCTATTTCTTTAGTGTCAATTAAGTACTATGTTCCAAGTTATAATGCGGTAAGTAGTCTAACTAACTTCAAACTACATGTACTACGTTAGGATTTGTTCTACCGACTACTAACATTTACGGCTTTGATTATTATTTTTGGGATCTTTTTAATCGAATATGAGAACCATAAATTTCATTGAATTCTTAATACTCCTGACCATTATAGAAAGACAACTGCTGAA